TATATATATATATATATATATGTCGTACCTAGTAGCCAGAACGCACTTCTCAGCCTACTATGCAAGGCCCGATTTGCCTAATAAGCCAAGTTTTCATGAATTAATTGTTTTTCGACTACCTAACCTACCTAACCTAACCTAACCTAACTTTTTCGGCTACCTAACCAAACCTAACCTATAAAGATAGGTTAGGTTAGGTTAGGTAGGGTTGGTTAGGTTCGGTCATATATCTACGTTAATTTTAACTCCAATAAAAAAAAATTGACCTCATACATAATGAAATGGGTAGCTTTATCATTTCATAAGAAAAAAATTAGAAAAAATATATTAATTCAGGAAAACTTGGCTTATTAGGCAAATCGGGCCTTGAATAGTAGGCCAAAAAGTGAGTTCTGGCTACTAGGTACGACATATATATATATATATATATATATATATATATATATATATATATAGAATATATATATATATACTATATATATATATTTGCTATATATATATATATATATATATATATATATTCTCTAATGTCATGACCACGACCAGGAAAAATGAAACAGGAAATTTCCTTAAGTACTTTCGTATATTAAATACATCTTAGAAGTAGCTTCTGAAGATGTATTTAATATACGAAAGTACTTAAGGAAATTTCCTGTTTCATTTTTCCTCCGTGGTCTGACATTGTCACATTCTTAATCACTAGGCTATTTTCGTGATATACACACACACATATATATATATATATATATATATATATATATATATATATATATATATATATATATATATATATATATATATATATATATATATATATATATATATATATATTTCATTGAATATGACCGCATATTCTGTATTTATTATTTTCTGGTTTAGGGCTTCTATCCCTCTAACTATTTTCTTAGCATCAGGGCTTAATTGAAATAGGAGTTCTCCAAAACTCATTTTCGTACTTTTAAGGTGAAGAAAAGAAGTGATTTACTATAGAGTGTATTACACTTATTTGTATAATTTGCACGACGTTTCGAACCTCCATGGTTCATTCTCAAGTGAACAGATCTTACAATACTAGTTGATTTTATACCCGCATTAGGTCAGGTGATAATACAATGAAGGTGAAAACATGGGGGGATACATAAGGGATAAACATAGGGGCTGCAGAAGGCTTATTGGCCCATACGAGGCATCTCCTATCTAAACACAAAGATTAATCCAGTGTAATTGGCCTGTTATGTTGGACATTGTCTTCTGTGTTGGCATCGATATGTTCTTGTCTTGTCCTTACTCTCATGGTGAGTAGAGTAAATAGTTCCGTCACCATAGAATAAGCGACCTACCATGAACACCCAAATCACGGAACTATTTACTCTACCCACCATGAGAGTAAGGACAAGACAAGAACATATCGATGCCAACACAGAAGACAATGTCCAACATAACAGGCCAATTACACTGGATTAATCTTTGTGTTTAGATAGGAGATGCCTCGTATGGGCCAATAAGCCTTCTGCAGCCCCTATGTTTATCCCTTATGTATCCCCCCATGTTTTCACCTTCATTGTATTATCACCTGACCTAATGCGGGTATAAAATCAACTAGTATTGTAAGATCTGTTCACTTGAGAATGAACCATGGAGGTTCGAAACGTCGTGCAAATTATACAAATAAGTGTAATACACTCTATAGTAAATCACTTCTTTTCTTCACCTTAAAAGTACGAAAATGAGTTTTGGAGAACTCCTATTTCAATTAAGCCCTGATGCTAAGAAAATAGTTAGAGGGATAGAAGCCCTAAACCAGAAAATAATAAATACAGAATATGCGGTCATATTCAATGAAACATGTTTGAAAGAAAACCTGCTGCCAGTATACACCAATATATATATATATATATATATATATATATATATATATATATATATATATATATATATATATATATATATATATATATATATATATACATATATATATAAATATATATATATATATATATATATATATATATATATATATATATATATATATATATATATATTAAGACTTAATATATATTGTGTCTTCTTATACATATATATAAATATATATATATAAATATATATATATAAAAACCATGTATATATATATATATATATATATATATATATATATATATATATATATATATATATATATATATATATATATATATATATATATATATATAAGTATATATTTAGACTTAATATATATTAGTCTTCTTATACATATATATATATATATATATATATATATATATATATATATATATATATATATATATATATATATATATATATATATTGGTGTATACCAAGGACCTTCAGAAGGTCCTTGGACCTTCAGAAGGTCCTTGGACCTTCTGAAGATGTATTTATTATACGAAAGTACTTAAGGAAATTTCCTGTTTCATTTTTCCTCCGTGGTCTGACATTGTCACATTCTTAATCACGTGTTTATTTTATATATATATATATATATATATATATATATATATATATATATATATATATATATATATATATATATATATATATATATAGAAGACTTGAGAGCAAGTCTGTACTGCCACGCGAGTTCAACACTCAGATGCAAAATACTGCCAAGCGTTCATCAACTTTCATCGCTGACATCCGTGAGCCTGTCGCTACTATTTTAATCTAAAGTCGATAAGCATTGATTCCACAGTGTGCTGTCGATTTCTCTGAGTGAGATAACACTATTTTCAACATAGTTGTGGTACCTTAGTGTTTGCCGCTCAAAGAAACCGTGCCGCCCACCACGTGTGTGCCGCCACCCAGTGCACGCACGCATGCTCACATCCCGCTGTGAATTTTGTCACCTACCACCCATCTGATTTACGCCGTGCTACGTGCCCGTGCGCCTCACTTGTCAGCCGCACCTCACCACCTGTTCAACCACTTGTTTTTGCATGTAATGCACATGTGGTCCTTTCCCCGAGAAGTGTACACCACGCGTGTCTGTGGCTGCCACCTTTGTGTATCATCATTACTCCCATGTAAACCACGTGTGGTTGGAGCTCGAGTATCTACACCTGTTAACCCGTGTCACTGATATCTCGCATGTTTAACCACGTGCGGAAATTGCTGGGAAAAAGATCATCACAGCTTCTACAAGGTCCAGCTGTATGTACAAGTTGTAAGTGACAAACGCCGGTCTTTTAGGTAAGAACAAATATATTTTGTATGTCTTATTATATGGTGTTTCTTAGTGTTGATAGTGATAACCCACCGACTAGACGTTGTTTGCTATCACCTGTAATGGGTGAGAGAAGCCTAGTCGAGGAAACCCGGAACAATTGTCGATTACAGCATGTTTGTGTGATTCCTGTAATTCGATACTGACTGAGTGTGTGTATAACACGCTCCACACATTTAGTCTGTGTTATATTGATTGTGCATTCTGATTGTATGGTTTAATTATACCGCTACGTATTGACATATTTTCCATGTAATGTGTCTATCTTGTTTCAGAGAACCAGAACTTGTGTAAGTTATTTAAGTGGTGTTGTCTGAGTTATACCCTGTGATAATTATATTGTTGTTGCTCAGTTAATTCATGAATTAATGTTTTTTCGACTACCTAACCTACCTAACCTAAGCTAACCTAACTTTTTCGGCTACCTAACCTAACCTATAAAGATAGGTTAGGTTAGGTAGGGTTGGTTAGGTTCGGTCATATATCTACGTTAATTTTAACTCCAATAAATAAAAAATTGACCTCATACATAATGAAATGGGTAGCTTTATCATTTCATAAGAAAAAAATTAGAGTAGATATATAAATTCAATAAAACTTGGCTTATTAGGCAAATCGGCCCTTGCATAGTAGGCCGAGAAGTGCGTTCTGGCTACTAGGTATATATATATATATGCGAACAAGCCTGAATGGTCCCCAGGACATATGCAACTTCTGGGGTGTGAGTTTTCAGTTATATATATATATATATATATATATATATATATATATATATATATATATATATATATATATATATATATATATATATATATATATATATATATATATATATATGTCGTACCTAGTAGCCAGAACTCACTTTTCAGCCTACAATGCAAGGCCCGATTTGCCTAATAAGCCAAGTTTTCATGAAATAATATATTTTCTCTAATTTTTTTCTTAAGAAATGATAAAGCAACCCATTTCATTATGTAAGAGGTGATTTTTTTTTTTTATTGGAGTTAAAATTAACGTAGATATATGACCGAACCTAACCAACCCTACCTAACCTAACCTAACCTATCTTTATAGGTTAGGTAGTCGAAAAGCAATTAATTCATGAAAACTTGGCTTATTAGGCAAATCGGGCCTTGCATAGTAGGCTCAGAAGTGAGTTCTGGCTACTAGGTACGACATTATATATATATATATATATATATATATATATATATATATATATATATATATATATATATATATATATATATATATATATATATATATATATATATAATGTACCTAGTAGCCAGAATGCACTTCTCGGCCTACTATGCAAGGCCCGATTTGCCTAATAAGCCAAGTTTTCATGAATTAATTGTTTTTCATCTACCTAACCTAACCTAACTTTTTCGACTACCTAACCTAACCTATAAAGATAGGTTAGGTTAGGTTAGGTAGGGTTGGTTAGGTTCCGTCATATATCAACGTTAATTTTAACTCCAATAAAAAAAATTGACCTCATATGTAATGAAATAAAAAGCTTTATCATTTCATAAGAAAAAAATTAAAGAAAATATATTAATTCATTAAAACTTGGCTTATTAGGCAAACCGAGCTTTGCATAGTAGGCCGAGAAGTGCATTCTGGCTACTAGGTCCGACATATATATATATACATATATATATATATATATATATATATATATATATATATATATATATATATATATATATATATATATATATATATATATATATATATAAAGTTAGCTACTCACCATATATAAGTCACGAGTGAACTTATTCTGACTGGCAGCAAGGCTGATGACCTCTTTGTGGTGTTCATATGAAGGGGCTTCTTTTACAGATTCTGCTGGATTCATGCTGCTAGAGCTATAATTGGTTCCAGAAAACAGTCTGAAATGAAAGTATACAATAATATTGGCCTGTTTAGCGATCCATGAGAGTTAGTAATTTGTAACTCACACTCTGGACACCACACGATGCATGAATTATATTACTTAGAATTATGAAATATGATTCAAGTATACACACAATAGTGTATTACCTAATTTATACACATATTAAGGAGCCTGAAATATACACAATTTCTCCCAGGGAAGAAGTGGTATAAAAACCATGTTATAGTTAGTACGAGAAATCAAACTGGAGAGAATAGACTGAGAGAAAGCTTCCACGAAATATAAAAATGGCTCCTCGGTCACTTTATGTATATTCTGGTAGGAAAGTGATAGAGAGAGTCAATGTATAGTTCCTCAATGATATGAACAACATGCTCAATGGTTACCAGTCAACCCCACTCACGCCTGTTGTACAATGGTTCGCACAGTCGGCTCACAACCTCTTGTACCCGAGTTCGACACCTCTGTTTAGATATTCTAGCAGTTAATGTGTACCTAAGATTTAGTCAACTGTTTCGGGTTGCATCCTATGGAAGGTCAATCATTAGCCTGCGGAAACCTGGATAAGCCTAACAGGCTTCTTTTACCTGATACTGGTCAACCACATATACACAGTTCTATCATGCAACAAAGAATGCAGCAGTTCCCCCGTGAATCTATACAAAGCATGTAACATAGAAAACGGTGATTCTCTTATAAAAGTTTTTCTACCTAATTGTATAATAATAATAATTCTCTGTGTCGGGGGACAGGATGCCAGAGTGTATTCACACATGTTAGGGTTATATCGAGGTCCTTCCCCCTCCCTCGGAAAGGTCGAATTACTGACCCCGCCCAGGATGCAACCCCACAACAAGGTGACTAACCCCTGAGTACCTACTTACTGTTAGGTGATAAGGTGAATTAGGTGACAGAAAATACGCCCAACCATTTCTGTCCCTACCGGGATTCAAACCCGGAATTCTCGATTGTGAGTCGAGAACGAACTCACAGTACTACCTGGACCCATGAGTCATATATAAGTCAAGTCTTAATTTTCCTATAATCTTCATATCTCCTGTTTGATTAAATTTTAAAGTTAATTTTCATTATAATAAACACATTTACTTACACAATAAGGAGCGAGGAGCAAGACTCGAAGAAAAAGAACTGGACACAGGGCGTGTATATATATATATATATAGCTATATATAGGGGAGAAACCAGTACCGTAAGCTTGGTGGCAGCCACCAGACAACTGGCCGCCAGCTGCCGGAGCCGGACCCACCGCGCTGCCGGAGCCAGATCCACCCCACACTTGGCACCACACTGCCAGCCGCACGAAGACCTCCGACTCTATCACATGTCTTAACTAGTTTTACCTCAGCATGCTATTATTCATACTCCTTTCTGTTTCTTATGTTTAAAACATTATTAAAAGTCGACATTTTCATATTTAAGATTCCAAATTTAAACTAAGTTATACAGCATACAATTGAGTAATATTTACCGAGTGATAAGAACCTCATTTTTATCTTCATATGATAAGTGTAGGTTGCTATGACGTTACTTCCCCTGGAACATATACACACTAGAGCAACCACGGCTATGTTTTGGTGCGGGTATTGTTTACCTATCAACAGCCCTGCTGTTAAAGTCAATACGCTGCGAGTCTAGAATAGATAATGCGAACCAATATAAATTTATGCCAAGGTTTTAACAGTGTAATTGTAATTGAATTATCTCTTATGCTCAAAGTAAGAATAAAACGTCTAAAAGCACTTGTTGGTAAGCACTTTAGTGTCTTTGTTTAGTTCAGGCCTACAATAGGCAAACTTAATTGAGAGACTTGGCGAAAATTTCTCTAAGTACATAATTATGATTCAAATACTTGCACATTTCTTGAACAATTGTGATACAGTTATCTTAAATCGTAATTATTTTCACATTGTATCACATAGTGATGCTGGGTGAGCGAATAGTTCTGCTGACAATATACAATTGGTATAGTAGTAGGTCTATGTCACGTAATGCAAGTTCTCAGAAAAAACACAAGGCCGAGCCTATGCCGAGGTGTAGTAACATGTAGGAGTCTGCTCATTTAACGGGAGGATCCACATGCTTGATGCTCTTGTATGATAGTATAATGATAGAGGGAACAGCTAGTATAGATTTCATTGTCTCAGATATACCAAGTTTTGATTGAGTTCTTGTTTATTGCTCTCATGTTGCATATAAGGCAATCCGAGGTTATAGTCAATAATTTTTTTTTTAGGTAATTTGTCAATTGGATCATGCATTCGAATTCCACCAGAAACAACATCCACATCAAAAGAACCGTTAATAATAATATATGTTTTCTGTGTCTGCTTTCAGACACAGGCAAACCTTTCATTGTGTGTATTGAAGAGATTAGTTCCTTAAGGATGCAAGAGAATACTTTACAATTTAGGTGTCCATTATGGAGACATGAGACATTCAAGTGCAGATAATATTGCAAAAAAGTTTAGTCTTAAGGGAGAGCAAGTTGACCATGCGGACTCTCCAGTCAAAATATATCCCATTACTAATTGTTAAGACACGTGCACTGCTAACAGTCTCCGTGTATATGATCTGACCTTTGCAGGTCATTGTAAGTAAAGCATCAGTTTGGCTTAAGGCGTTATACTCTGCCTCAACACAAAATTTGGGCTGAACATTAATATCTTTCATGGAGGGACGGGAGGGATTATAATTTGGAACTGGGATGATCTCGCACGATGCAGGGAATTGTTTTTGTGCTGATTGTAAATCTTTTATTATTAGTTCAGTTACAGTTTTAGAAATCCATTAAAAAAATTTCCGTCAATAGAAAAGTTCTAGAGAACTTCTTTGCAATGGATAGGATTAGAAGCAAAAACATTTTGATGCTAATTAGGGCATTCATTTCAGTAAGAATATCATGACGCATGGTATATTAAATTCCTTCGTCATTGGGTTTACTGGGCTCAAAGTTTAGCACCGCATTTATTTAAAAAAAACAAATGTAGGAATGAGGACATGTTCGTACAGGGTGTCTGGTTCAAGGTCACTCCCTCTGCTCTTGGAACAATACAGATGACTTCCTGTTGTGTAGGTAACCTCACATCCAGCAAAAAGGCCACTCATCAGTATCCATTCACGCAAGCTCACATAGAATAACATGCTGGTTTGTAATGTCAATGGCCAACTTGAGTCTTAAGAGAGTGCTATATGACTTGTTAGTGGGCAGCGGTGATGCAATGATGCACTTTCAATTGACGCATGAAGACCTTCATCAAGGAGAGCAATGAACAATTTCATTGGAGGTCACGGTTTAGGTCCATCCTCTCCAATGTTTTGCAAAGGTAACTAGTAAAGAAAGTTAGTCGGAAATATTCTTTTGATTATGTCTGGTAATTGGAATTATGATACAGTTGGTCCACAAGATAGGGAGTTCCCCCAGTAACAGAGCTAATACTATACACTTCAAGTAAGAGATTTCCTTGCACTGAAGAAAGCAAACGTGATATGTTGAGTGATACGGTCCTCAACGGAGGAGGAGGCTTACATTTGCTCAAGCCCGAGAGTAACTCTGACTCTGTTATTAGCACGTTGTAACATCTTCCTCGAATGGGTTTCCGGCTTCCTGTCCTAGTCTGAGCCACTGGAGATGGTGGCACTGTGGGCTTCCTGTCCCCGTCGAGGTCACTGGAGATGGTGCCACCGTCGAGGTCACTGTTGATGGTGACACCGTCGAGGTCTCTGGTGATGGTGCCACCGTCGAGGTCACTGGTGATGGTGCCACCGTCGAGGTCTCTGGTGATGGTGACACCGTCGAGGTCTCTGGTGATAGTAACACCGTCGAGGTTTCTGGTGATGGTGACACCGTCGAGGTCTCTGGTGATGGTGCCACCGTCGAGGTCACTGGTGATGGTGCCACCGTCGAGGTCTCTGGTGATAGTGACACCGTCGAGGTCTCTGGTGATGGTGACACCGTCGAGGTCTCTGGTGATGGTGGCTCTCATGTAAATTTATGTGAGTTTTGTTTAATTCCGAAATAAGTGTTGCCAATATTCAAAATATCTTTTTCTCTCCCAATACATAACATGAACTACATCATAGTCCTTTCTTTGCTTTATATGTTATAATTTTTTATAGCTTGAGTGAATTATAATTCAGATATAATATAACTGTTAATATTGTCATGTTTTATCAACACATGACGACAAGGAAGGAAAACTAGGCTTAAAAGAACAAGGAAATGAACATGGCTTACTGGGCAGGAAATGTTCACCACCTTGATTAATACCAGAAACTATCACGCTCTCTTAAGAATTATTAAGGAATTGTTTAAATATATTCCCAAAACATATCTGCAAATGTCGGACATGTTGACTTCAGACCCAAGGAACTCTATGCAACAAAAAACATCAAATAAGAAGTATCAGCTGTTTTGTGTATATATATATATATATATATATATATATATATATATATATATATATATATATATATATATATAAATATATATATATATATATATATATATATATATATATATATATATATATATATATATATATATATATATATATATATATGTCGTACCTAGTAGCCAGAACTCACTTCTCAGCCTACTATACAAGGCCCGATTTGCCTAATAAGCCAAGTTTTCATGAATTAATGTTTTTTCGTCTACCTAACCTACCTAACCTAACCTAACCTAGCTTTTTTGGCTACATAACCTAACCTTACCTATAAATATAGGTTAGGTTAGGTTAGGTAGGGTTGGTTAGGTTCGGTCATATATCTACGTTAATTTTAACTCCAATAAAAATAAATTGACCTCATACATAGTGAAAAGGGAAGCTTTATCATTTCATAAGAAAAAAATTATAGTAAAAATATTAATTCAGGAAAACTTGGCTTATTAGGCAAATCGGGCCTTGAATAGTAGGCTGAGAAGTGAGTTCTGGCTACTAGGTACGACATATATATATATATATATATATATATATATATATATATATATATATATATATATATATATATGACAATGTCAGACCACGGAGGAAAATGAAACACGAATTTCCTTTAAGGAAATTCCTGTTTCATATTCCTCCGTGGTCTGACATTGTCACATTCTTAATCACGTGTTTATTTTCGTGATATACACACACACACATATATATATATATATATATATATATATGTCGTACCTAGTAGCCAGAACGCACTTTTTGGCCTACTATTCATGGCCCGATTTGCCTAATAAGCCAAGTTTTCCTGAATTAATGTATTTTCTCTAATTTTTTTCTTATGAAATGATAAATCTACCCTTTTCATTATGTATGAGGTCAATTTTTCTTTATTGGAGTTAAAATTAACGTAGATATATGACCGAACCTAACCAACCCTACCTAACCTAACCTAACCTATCTTTATAGGTTAGGTTAGGTTAGGTAGCCGAAAAAGTTAGGTTAGGTTAGGTTAGGTAGGTTATATATATATATATATATATATATATATATATATATATATATATATATATATATATATATATATATATATATATATATCGTACCTAGTAGCCAGAACGCACTTCTCAGCCTACTATGCAAGGCCCGATTTGCCTAATAAGCCAAGTTTTCATGAATTAATTGTTTTTCGACTACCTAACCTAACCTAACCTAACTTTTTCGGCTACCTAACCTAACCTAACCTATAAAGATAGGTTAGGTTAGGTAGGGTTGGTTAGGTTCGGTCATATATCTACGTTAATTTTAACTCCAATAAAAAAAATTGACCTCATACATAATGAAATGGGTAGCTTTATCATTTCATAAGAAAAAAAATAGAGAAAATATATTAATTCAGGAAAACTTGGCTTATTAGGCAAATCGGGCCTTGCATAGTAGGCTGAGAAGTGCGTTCTGGCTACTAGGTACGACATATATATATATGTCGTACCTAGTAGCCAGAACGCACTTATCAGCCTACAATGCAAGGCCCGATTTGCCTAATAAGCCAAGTTTTCATGAATTAATTGTTTTTCGACTACCTAACCTACCTAACCTAACCTAACCTAACTTTTTCGGCTACCTAACCTAACCTAACCTATAAAGATAGGTTAGGTTAGGTTAGGTAGGGTTGGTTAGGTTCGGTCATATATCTACGTTAATTTTAACGCCAAGAAAAAAAAATTGACCTCATACATAATGAAATGGGTAGCTTTATCATTTCATAAGAAAAAAATTAGAGAAAATATATTAATTCAGGAAAACTTGGCTT